CTTTGGGGGTTTTCTTTGCCTTTGTGTTTAATGCCGTGTGGGAAAAGTGAACTCTGACGCCACCATCACGTATCCAATGGGCCTCCAGGCCGAGAAGGAGGCTTCTCCTCAGAGGTCCCGCGGAGAACTCACCTGCCACTGGGACCGGAGGGCCCAGTCCCACCACCCCTTCCTGTGTCCTCGCCATCGCTATGCAAAGTGGTTCTCGTTGTACATAAGATTTAAATAATGCGCCTATTTAAGAAACGTTGACAAACTGCAGGTCTGGGACCTGCCTCTTATTTATGAAGTCTCTGACCCGCCCGCCCACCTGCCGCCGCCCACCCGCCCTGGCGTGCAGTCCTGTATAAACCAGTTGGCTGTCAGGGTAGTGGTAGTGTTATTGTTATTTTTTTAAAGGAAACAAAAAAAAAGAACCTTCTTGGAAAATTAATTGCTTTGTAGTAATGGATTCTGTATGCTAATGCTCTCTCCTCGTCTGTCTGTCTGTCTGCCCACCCACCCCTGTGCGTTTCCCAGATGTCTCCAACTTCCTCACGGGGTGGGGGTCAGGCTGGGGGAGGAAAAGTGGGGTCCCCACATTGTGGTCTTGCTCCTCCAAGGCCCTGGCTTTCTCTCGGCCCCTTTTACACATTTGGAGGGGGGTGCTAACCTGTCGTCCCCCCCACCCCCGGAGAGGAGCTGCCCCACCCTCTCCCTCTCCGCTGTCCCGGCCCTGACTGAGACTCTGCGACCTGTGGCCTCCCTCCCTCCCTCCCTCCCGTGCCCGTGGTCTCCTCGTGCATGCGCCTCCCTGCATGGTCTCGGGAGGAGAGCGAGACGTCGCCTCCACCAGCCTGACTGCCCAGCCCCCCATGAATGTGACCACTGCACAGACCCTGTTCCACCCGCCCGGACAGCCAACCTCCTTTCTTTTATAAACAGGCGGCTTTTTCTTAACAAGCCCTCACTGTACAGAGCAGCCCCTTTACGGTTTACTTGGGGTCCCCTCTCCCCAAAGCCCCCTTTTCTGTTGTTTTAGCACAAATATGCCCCCTCCGGCACCTCCAGACCTAACCCCCAGTCAATGTAATTGTTTTATATATATTTAATCTTATTCAATGGAAACCATGCTTTTGTCGTTTTATACTTTGCTAGGTAGACTTTATTACCCCCCGACTATGCCCTCATTTTTTTAAAAAAGGAAAAAAAAGAAATTGGGTTTCAGTCTTAATTCATTTTACGTGCCAGGTTTTATTTCGTGTGCGTGTGAGTGTTCTGTTTTGTGTTTTGTTTTGTTGTTGTTGTTTTCTGTTGTTTGGTTTTATTCTCTCCCCACAGTCCCATACTTTATAGCACTCTGGTGCAGGAAGAAGCAGAAGCAACAAAAAAAAATTTAAAAAGGAAAAAAAAAAAAAGAACTGAGACATGCCACCTTTTCCCTTCGCACTGTTGCTTTTCCTGATGGTTATACTACTGTCACGTAGCTGTGTTCAGAGATGTGAAATACTTTCAGGCAAAAATAAACTGTAAGTGACTCATTGACCTCTGGCCTTTCTGTGTGGCTTCCCGAGGGTCTTCCGGGGGGGACGGGCACGACCCAGGCCGGAGCCGGGGCTCACAGCTGAGTCCAGTCACCTGCCTGGGTGTCCAGGGCTCCTCCTCCTCAACCCTGCTGACAGGTGTGGGGGCGTCCTGGGCCCCGGGGGGTGCTGAGCAGCATCCCTGGCCTCAGCCACTTGATGCCAGGAATACCCGCCCCCAGTTGTCACAACTAAAAATGTCCCCAGACGTTGCCCACTGTCAGATGGACATGCCTGCTCTCCGCCTGGGGACTCGAACGTGCAGGCTCTGGTTCTTGAGGTCTGTGTGGGCCCGAGACTCCGCATCTCCTAGGCGCTCCAGCCTGGTTCCCGGAGGGCTCGCCAAGTTCTATCCGTCCAGCTCCCTCCCCCAGATGTCCCCAGGAGGCAAACTCGATGTGTCCAAAAAGGGAATGGAGAGGGAGACAGGAGAGGCTGGGTCTCTTGGTCAAGGTCAACAAGGGAACCAGGAAAGCTGATAGGCCCACGGGAAGGTCTCCCCAAAGCTGGGTGAATGGCTGGGGCTGGGCAGGGACCAGGTGCACAGACAGGTTCAAGAGAAGCCTAGCAGTCAGAACTGCAGAACATGGTGTTTGGGACGAAAGGAGGCAGGTGACATGCTGGGTCTTGGCTTCCTTGCTGAGGCAGGTTGTGGGCACCTGGAATGAGCCTCTTCGCCTGGCAGCAGCCTCAGGGCAGGCAGGGCTGGTGTGGGAATGCCCTGCCTGCCTGGTTCCTCATGAGGTCAGAGAGCTCTGGCTCCTGGAGTCCCTCCCTGGGACTAACCTCCAGCTGCCCCCAGGGCCCACGTGCTTGTTGGACTTCCTGCCCGCCCTCAACTTCCCCCCCCCACACACTTTCCTGTGGTCCCATTCGCGTTTCCTGGGACCACTTTCCACCTAAGCTGCCTGCCTCGGGGGAAGACAGTGACTGGTGGTGCCAGGCTTTCATGACAGGCTGGAATAACCCTCCCAAGGACACCAGAGGCACCGGGTATCCCTGCCCGGCCTCAGCCACAGAGGCAGCACCCCACTGAGCTGAAAGGGCTCTGCACCTGGGCCCCGAGAATCAGCTGGCACCCTCTCTCAGAGGTGGTGGTGGCAGCTGACGGAAGTTCTCATACGTTCCCGGTGGGAGTAGAAATGGGTTCAACTGCTTTGGAAAGCATATCCCCTAACGCAAAGCCTCTGCCCACCCTGTGACCCTGCATCTCCACTCCCGAGTGTGTGCCCGAGGGAACTGAGCTCACACGGCCACCAAAAGACACAGGAATGTTTACAGCAGCGTTATTCATAGCAGCCAACAAGTGGAAACAGCCCAGAAGTCCACAGAGAAGAGAATGAATAAACAGACCGTGGGCTAGTCACACAGCGGAGCAACGCAAGTGTCTCCGTCAACGGGAGCATGAAGACACGCACGGCGACACACCCACATGGTGGAATCCTGCAGACGGAAAAGGAACCGGCTGGTGTGCAGTGACGTGGGCTCACTGGGTAGACGTTACGTTGTGTGAAAGGAGCCAGACATAAGTGAGGGTTTGCTGTATGATTCCATCTATGTAAAGCTCACCAGCAGGCACAGCCGTCTGTGATCACAGAGGCCACAGTAGTGGTTACCTGCGAGGGGGCGTGTGAGTGATGGAAGGTGGGAGGGAACCTCTGGGTGGTGAAGTGCTCTGCACACATCCTAGAGCCCCACGCGAACACTGGGCCCATGTACGGCTTATGCTGACACATCAACAAAGCGGGAACAACCCACATGTCCATCAACAAATGACCCGACCGATAAAAGTGGTATAAACAGACAATGGACTGTTACCCATCCATAAAAAAGAATAAAGTACGGATACCCTCCAACGAGGATGAGCCTTGAAAACCCTATAGTAAGTGATGCCATTTATATAAAATGTCCAGAATAGGCAAAACGAGAGAGAGAGAGGGAGAGAGAGAGAGAGAGAGGAAGCAGATTGGTGTTTACCAGGGGCCAGGGGGTAACTGCCTAATGAGAATGGGGTTTTATGTTAGAATGATGAAAATATTTTAGAACTAAATAGAGGTGGTGATTGCACAACATCGTGAGTGTTCTAAATGCCACTTTAAATTGGTTTCTTCTAAGGTGCAATTTTGCTTTATTTTTTTAAGTGGCATCAAAAAATAATGTTTTGAGTGAGAAGTTGGTTGCTGCTCCTCTGTCTGGGCTTAGGAGGGTGTGGTGTCCATGCCGCCAGGACTTCGATCACAGCCATTCTTATCCAGCCTCATGAAGACTCGGTGAATGTTTTTAAAGTGTCCCCTCCTCAAAACACTATATTGCAGTGGTTCTCAACCTTCTGGCCCTTTAAATACAGTTCCTCATGTTGTGACCCAACCATAAAATTATTCTCGCTGCTACTTCATAACTGTAATGTTGCTACTGTTATGAATCGTAATGTAAATATCTGATATGCAGGATGGTCTTAGGCGACCCCTGTGAAAGGGTCGTTCGTCCGCCAAAGGGGTTGTGACCCACAGGTTGAGAACCGCTGCTATATTGCCATCTGCTGGAACATTGACATAAACACACAAGGTTGTATAATAAATAGACAAACTCCCTTAAATGTGGCGCCCTTGCACAACCTGCATGGCTGTACGTGGTGGGATGTGGGACTTTGCTTTATTTTCGGTGGGACGGGCCTTGAAAAACTTAATGCTGACCTTCCTTCTTGGTCTCATTCTTTAAAAAAAAAAAAAAAACTTCCTCAAATCTTTTTTTTTAATATATTTTTTTTATTCAGAGAGGAAGGGAGAGAGAGAAACATCAATGATGAGAGAGACCATTGATCAGCTGCTTCCTGCACACTCCGCCCACAACCCGGGCATGTGCCCGTGACCAGAACCAAACCCGGGACCCTCCAGTCCGCAGGCCGACGCTCTATCCACTGAGCCAGACCGGCTAGGGCCTGTTCTCATTCTGATGTGAGTATGGCTAGCCTGGGCTGGCCTGGCTCAGATTTGTCAGGGAGATGAAATCCACTTGGTCCCTGCTCTACTCGCCCGTATATTTCAACCTGCCCTTCGGAACCTCTTCCAACAATGAGCCCTTCACCGAAGCACTGGGGGTCATCTCACAGCAGCCGGGGGCTGAGGATGGCCTGGAAAGTCCCCCACCGTGTTCCTGGCCACAGACCTCTTGGCTGTTTGTTTTTCCTCTGAATGTAATGGTGGGGGCAGCCAGGTATTCTCAAACGCCAGGCTTGTCTCCTCTCTGATTTGCCAGGGAGAAGGGCTGTCAGATCCAGTGGGAAGGAGG